TTTTCTCAAATACATGTCATTCTTCTTGCCTTTCTCCAGATTCTAGCATTTATACATCTTTGGGCAGTATCAAAACAGGGCTGAACCCAGCAACTACTCCAAGTTTTCTATAAAACACTCCAGACCACCTCCCAGAACAAGATGTGCTTCATTGCAACACCATTTTTCCTATCAACTCACATTTTGCCTGCAGCCCTTTTACATCTTCTGATTCTCTTTCCTGCCAGATATGCCACTTTCTGCCTCCCTTCTTCCCTACCACTCATTGCATCTCCTTCTGTTGACTTTGGAAACCTTCAGTTTAATTAAATAATTTCTAATTCTCATGAATGTTTGCAGACTCCTTTATCTTGATATCCCTGATCATCTCCTAAGGGTTAATTTAACTCACCTAACTTCAGATGCCACTGAACTGCTCCTGATGCAGCAGCAAACAGCTTTTGGAGCAGCTGGTGGGGGTTTGTCTGGAGGTGGTGCTCCTGCAGAACTCGTGGGAGCTGTATATTCCCTTGTTATTTACCGGGGCAGCAAGACAAACCTTCCCCAGTTCAAAATACATCCACTCATCCTCTCAGAGTAGAATATAAAACTCTCTTGACATGATTTATTCTTGTAAAATTCACATTGGCTGTGTTTTATTACCTTATTATCCTCTAGGTGCTTATAAATTGATAGTTTGATAATTTTTAACAGTATCTTCCTGGCTACCAGAATACTATTGGGTCTCTGATTCCCTGTACTCTCATTCCTCTCCTTCTCACACCCAGGCACAGTGTTTGCCCTTCTCCAGCCCTCCTGTGACAACTCCTGAGGTGCCAGGCTTTACTCTTCCCACTTCACAGCTACTCTTGCTTAGGTTCCTTCAAGGCCCTTAAAATACATCAGTCTTAATTCCTCTCACCTTTAAACCTGTTCTTGCCCTGCACTATCTCTGCTCCTTTAAAGTTAATTTCACTTGCTAATCCTTTTCTGAAGGGTGGAAAAAAAGAAAGAGTGGTTTCCATTATTCTGTGGTTTCCATTATTTGGTTTTCCATTCTATTTTAGATGGTGGAATATTATATTAGTCATATTATATTATATTGTAGAGTATTATTCTTATAGAAAATTCATGGACTTAATCCATCCTTCATTTTCCTCTTGCTTTCATGAATAGCCTGGATTGGTTTTTACATCCATTATTGCTTGAAATCGATTTGACATCTTGGCTTTTCTGATTTTGGGCTTATGCACATGGACTAATATTTAAACTAATTTTTCTTAGGAATTTTTTTCTTTAATGATTCCTTTATTAAATTCTACTTCTTCCATAAGTGCTTACTTGGTTTGTTTTTCTTATTTTTGCTGGGTGTTTTTCAAACCATAGAAATATAGAATGGTTTGGGTTGGAAGAGATCTTGAAGATCATCTAGTTCCAACCCCCTCTGCCATGGGCAGGGACACCTTCCACTATCCCAGGTTGCTCCAAGCCCTGTCCAACCTGGCCTTCAACACTTCCAGGGATGGGGCAGCCACAGCTTTTCTGGGCAACCTGTGCCAGGGCCTCACCACCCTCACAGGAAAAAATTTTTTCCTAATATCCAATTCAATCCTGCTCTCTGTCAATTTGAAACCATTCCCCCTTGCCCTGTCACTCCAGGCCCTTGTCCCAAGTCCCTCTCCAGCTCTCTTGGAGCCCCTTTAGGCCCTGGAAGGGGCTCTCAGATCTCCCCAGAGCCTTCTCTTCTCGGGGTTGAACAATCTGCCCTCGCAGAGCTTTGGGGGCCTTACCCCGAACACATGAGGGAGCACATTCACTCTATGAACTTTTCCTGCTCAGAAAACAGCTTAGCATCAACACAGGCTAAAATCCACAGCCCCAAAGGAAAATTTCCCTGAGGAAAATAATTCGGTGAGCTGTGGCAGGTGGGGGTACTGATAAAGAATGTGGATTCAGCTGCCTGTGTGGCTGCAGTTCGCTCTGTTCACAAGCACTTTGGGCAGATACCCACTTTTTATACTGGATATAAACTGGATCCAGTGCCTCTCTGTGCACCTGAGATGGAAAACCCTGGGGAAAAAAAAAAACAAACCAAAACAGGGAGCCAGTTGTGGGGCATCTTAATTGCCAAATTAATATAGGAGAATTTAGTAGCCAGAGCTCCCAGACTCCACCTCAGATACAGCTGAGCCTTAAGGACTTTTTTCATGGCTTCAGAAAATCCAAATATTTTGAAGTGCAAATCGTGCTTTTGATAAAGCAAAGCTGTGGTTTCACGGGGTAGTGTGGAGCAGGATATCTCCCTCTTCCTGCATGGAGGGGTGAAGTCAAGTGGGTTCTGTTTATTGCCCTCTTACAGCCTGAGTGTTTTCACACATGTGGGGCTCTGTAAACCTATCAGCACCTGGAAATAAGGCTTCAGATAACTTTGTCCTGCTGATAAAACAGCTGGGAGGAGTCACCATTAATTGAGCTGGAAGAAAGGGGAGGGGGACCACTGGCTCAGAGGGAGCCTTTGGAGAACTGTTCTTTTGGGCAAGTCTCTGATGCATCATAGCATCTCTTACAGATAATTTGCTGGTTATTCATAGAAATTGAAATTTTGTTTAAAAAGTATCAGTCTTGTTTAAATGTCTTTTTTTTCACCTTTATTTTCACCAATTGCTGTGCTGTTCCTGGGAAATAGAGTCCAAGGCGGTTCCCAAGAGAAAAATTATCATCCAGCAATTCTTGAAAATGGTTCTTTAGCAGCAGCCTAGGAAATCTGAGAAAATGCAAAAAGTTAGAGCCTGAGTAAATCTGAGTATTTGCTTAATAGATACTTCCACATACAGTGTGTTCAACCGGCTTATATAAGAGTATCAACTTTAATATTTGATTTAGAGTTTAATATAAAGGCAACTGAGTGCAAAACACAATCAGATTTACTAACTCAGGGGAATGAACCTTTTTATGAAACTAACAATTACACATATAAAATCAGCTGAAAATGAGTTAGTGAGATGAAACTTCCACCTTCCTGACTGAACTCGTGATTAAACCATGATTAAAGTCAGCGAGCTAAATGAACATCTATCAACCTAAAATTCAATTCACACTTGAAAAAAAAAAAAGGGAGGGACTGTTTTTCATGAAGGTTATTTCAGTGATGTGGATTTGGCACATTGGTACCAGGGGATGTGTTGGCTCAGTTGAGGGGCTGGGGAAATTCAGTGCAGGCAGCTGGAGAAGGAACAAGCCTGGCACTAATGACCAACCCAGGACAGGGGATTCCCAAGCCCATGTATAACACAATTCCCTCCTGTGTTGTAAACTGGACCTACTTGGGAAGCAGGCCAGCTCCCATGATTTTCTTGTCTCATTTACCACTGTTTTTAAGGCCATTGCTCAGAGTCATGTGGTATGATGAGATTTGCAGCCTCTTTGGTTTTGTAACTAAACACAAGCTCCCACCCTTCAAAATCAGGGAGGAAAACTCCAGTGCGTGACCTTAGTGGTCCCTAAAATGGTCTCAGGTACATTGTAAAGAGAGAAAAAATGAAACTTGCCCTCTGGGGAGGGAGCTGTAAAGAGGGGTGGGAGCCACAACACACAGAATAGCAAAAAAACCAGGTTTAAGGCTGCAGTTTGAGAACCTGATCCCATCAGCAGACCCAAAATCCCACTAGGATTCCCCCGAACTCAGCATTCAAAGCCCTGCTGGGACCCTCTTCAGTCTGGTGACCCAAACTTCACCAGGACCTCTGTACCCCAAATCCACTGTGACTTCCCAAACCCAACACACTCATCCCTGCCAGAACCCCTCAACTTCACACCCCAATCTTGACCATAATCCTCATCAACCCTCCCCAGCCAAGCATTCCAAACCTTGGCAGGACCTCTCCAGCCAGAGCAACCCAAACCCTGCTGGAACTTCCCCATCTTGGCACCCGAAACACTTCTGGGACTCCCTCGGCCCAGCATCTCAAACCCCGCCAGGATCCCTATCCACCCTTCCCTGTCCAACACTCCTTTCCTCATCAGGACTTCTCTAACCCAGCACTCCAAACCTCAGCACAATTTCCCCAACCCAGCACCCCAGTCCCCAACAGAACCCCCATCCCCATCTCCATCTCTGTTCTCATCCTCATTCACATTCACAACTCTGTCTCCCTCTACATCCCTGTCTTTGCCTCCATTTCCATTCTGATTCCCACCTTCATCTCCATTCCATCTCCAACCTCATCTACATCCACATCCACATCCACATCCCCACCCTTATTCTAATGCCCATCCCCATCCCTGTTTCCATCTCCATCTCTGTCCCCATCCTCATCCCTATCCTGTCCCCATGCCTGCCTGTCTCCATCTCTGTTCCCCATGCAACCCCATCTCCAGCTCCTTTCATGTCCACATCCTTATCCTCATCTTCAACCCCATTCCTGTCTCCATCCCCCTTTCTATTCCCATCCCCATCTCTTTCTCCATCTTCATCCTCATTCCCATCCCCGTCTCTGTCTCCATCTCTCTCCCCACTGCATCCTCATCTCCAACCCTTCCACATATCCATCCTTATCCGCATCTTGATACCAGTTCCCGTCTCCATCCCCAACCCCATCTCCATCTGTCTTCTTCTCCATCCTCATCCCCATCCCTGGCTCCATCTCTGTCCCCATTACATCCCCGCCTCCAACCCCTTCAACATCCCCATCCTTATCCCTGTATTCATGCTCGTTCCCATTTCCATCTTCAACCCCATCTCGTCCTTGTCCCCGTCCCCTCTCCAACTCCGCCACCGTCCCTAACTCTCTCCTCGCCACGGTCCCCAACTCTCTCCTCGCTCCCATCCCAACCCCTCCCCTCCCCATTCCCGTTCCCCTCCCTGCCCCGCCCCGAGTGCTGCCGACGGGGCGGTCCAGGGGGCGGGGGCGGCTCGGGGCTGCCTTTGTGCGCGGCGGGGCCGGAGTTAGGACAATTCCGCTCTGCTCCGCTCCATCCCATCCCATTCCCCCCCATCCCGCTCCATCCCACCCCGCCGTGCCATGGCCGCCCCCCGCCCGGCGCACGGCTGCGGCAGCGGGGCTCTGCTGGGGCGCTTCGGGGTGCTGCTGCAGGCGCTGCTGGCTCTCTGCGCCTTCAGCACCCTCATGCGTGAGTACCGGGGGGCTCGGGGGCACCCCCTGCCCGCGGGGGAACCGGGGGGGACCCGCGGTGCCTCGGCGATGCTCAGGGAGTGGGCGCCCGTTCGCTTAAAAACACCCAAGTTTTGTGTTTTAGCTCCCCGTGGGATTGCGGGTGGATGTTCCCGAGCCGGCAGTTGCAGCGCCAGATGCTCCGTCTTAACAAAACTCCCGTCCCCAGCCCTAATCTGATGGTAATGAAGCACCGCGAGCGTGCGGCGATAATCTGCTAAAATTGGCCGCGCTTGTGCGAGCCAGTGCTCAGTCACTTAGAAAATTTTAATGAAGGGTAAAAACTATTGGTGTAACCGCGGGAGTTGCTGGGGAGGGGCTGACAAAAACGGGGCGGGTGTCCCGTACGGCGCTGCTGGGTGAGGGCGATTTAATTGCGTTGCGATGCTGTTTTGTTGAGTTTTGCTTCAGCTGCAAAGTTTCCGGGTTTGAGAGGCTGGGGAAGGAGTTTACGGAGAGAACGTGTTTTGCTGGTTGCTGCGAAGCGGGGTAGTGAGAGAAAACAGCTGAGGAGGGAGAAAAATCACGCGGGTTGTGATTTCCAGGAGCAAGAGGGAACGGCCTCCAGTTGCACTAGAGAAGATTTAAGTTGGATGTTAGGAAAAACTTCTTCCCCGAAAGGGGAGGTGGAACAGGCTGCCCAGGGCGGTGGGGGAGTCACCGTCCCTGGAGAGATTTAAAAGGCATGTAGATGTGGCACTTGGGGATATGTGGTTCACTGGTGGACTTAGCAGTGCTGGGTTAATGATTGGACTCGATGATCGTGGAGGTCTTTTCCAACCTCAGTGATTCTGTGATCCTGTGAAAAGGGGGGGAACATTAATGCTGAAAGAGCCGAGAAAATTTATTCTTGTTTTGTGCTGCAGCTGCGTTTTGCTCAGAGCAATGTGTGTGTTGCTACTTCTAAGGGTTAAGTGGTTTAACACAAGTTGAAAAACACGCCAGAACTCGATCTGTTTTTCTTGTTTGAAAGCCTGTGGTGACAGGGAACTGAAACTTTCAACTTTTCTGGCTAAGTAGCTGCAGATTTTGAGGTTCTCTTGCCCTTCTCTGCCTTCTGGAAACCACTTTCAAAGGCTCCAGCGCTGCGGTTAACGCCGGGCTGCCAGAGAAAACTGCAACATGTTCTTCCCAGCGATAACTGATACCGTTTTCCAGCTGGAGAAGCCCAGTTGCAACATGTCACTGCTTGTGTTTCACCAAATATTGACAGTAAGAACAGATTGATCTCTTTTTCTGTTCCTGTTCCCCTTGGTGATATGTGCATATGAGTTAATTGTCCTGTAAACTCTATGGGGTGTCTCATAAAATCAAGGACACTGGTAAATCATGTCAAAATACCTCTGTGGGTGAGGCTCCATAACCCCTTCTAGCAAATCATCAACCCTGGGCTAACTGGTGTCTTCCCCCTGGTGCAAGGGCTGATATTTCCTTGAACATTAACAACATCTTGGTTAATGAGGAGAAACCGAAAGCTGATTCTGCGGTTTTCTTGTGAATCAGCTCAGTGACTAAAGCTGTGGAGGAACTGCTGGCTGGGACCCCAAAAGCAGATGTGTTTACAACGCTGGGATCCCAACCACAGCACCTCCTCTGGCTGCAGCTGGGTTGGTGGTCCCTAATCCACCCCAGCTGGGTCTTATCTGTGCCCCTGTCACACACTCCCAGCCGGAGGCTTTCTTGGATCTAGTCTTGGGCTGTTTCTGTGCTGACTCCTAACCCATGATGGTTGTACTGGGCTTCCCAATGGCTTTATGTTGGGCAACAACTTGCAGCTTTTGGGCTATTCCTGTGGCTCTGTCAGTTGGCAGCCTTCTGGGAAGGAGAAGGCTCCAGTCTTTGGGAGGTATAGAAGCATCTTGAGCCGAGTAAAAGGGTTCCTGGGAACTCGATTGCATCTCCGCTACATCCAGCCCAGCATCAAGTCAGGCAGTCCCAGCTGGATGACTGCATCATCCAGAACTTGGGATGCTGCTGTCACTGGGGTCAGCCCTTCTTTGATACTGCTTCCTTCAGTACTGTGGCATTCCTGGGTGTGTGTTTCTGTTGTCTTTATGACTGATTTCTTCTTTACTGGCATGTTACCGGCCAGTTTGCTCACACCTACAGATCAGTGAGTGGAAACAAAGTCAGTGAGGGTGGGAAGGCATTGGAACAGGTTGCCCAGAGAAGCTGTGGCTGCCCCATCCCTGGAAGTGTTTAAGGCCAGGTAGGATGGGGCTTGGAGCAACCTGGACTAGTGGAAGGTTGGAATTAGATGGTCTTCAAAGTCCCTTCCGAGGCAAATCATGCTATGAAATTCCTGTCCAAACCCAAGCCAGTGCCTTTTCCATTCCTTCTGTGTTAAAGCAGCAGCTCAGCTATAGGAGGACCTGAATTTGAATAAATAAGACTTCCAAATGCTGTGGCTACTGTTCAGAGCACTTGGAAACACCTAGAAAAACTCAGACTAAAAATAAATGTGGTGCTCTGCGAAGTTTTGCAGGTGTTTGTGCAGGGAGTGTGCTCAGAGTACTCATGATGTGGGTCCCAAGCATGGCCATTGCAGGAAGGGCAAATTTTTATGTTTTTTGCCAGAAGAGTTTATGTCCTTGAATTTGTTTCTTGGAGCTGTGGACAGGTTTTTCTCCTGCCAACCTGATAGGAAAACCTAACAAAGGAGGAAGTTAGACTTGAGTGATTGAATGGGACGAGTGGGGTGGTTGCAGTGGGCTATGTGAAATGGGTCCTCTATGTGGTAAAAACAGAACCCAGAAATAAATCCTAGGGAGTCAGGAAAGCTATTTAGTAGGTTGATATCAGTCTGTCAACTACCAAGAGCAGTAGTGATGACAGAGTTCATTTCAGCCTACAAACACACTCTTGCTTTTCCAACAAGAAGGTCTTTAAGGTTATAGTCAAGCCTAATTCCAGTGTGGTCCAAGGCTTGCTCTGGTTGCAGCTTTGCTGAATTTGGTAATCAAATGGCAATGAGGTGTTACCCTTCCCACCTGCCTGGGGTGGCTTTGGAGGCCCTTTGGCTGTAAGAACACTTGCTGGGAGGACTGAGACACCAACACTTGAAAGCAGAGGCAGTGAAGTTTAGCAGCTGCACAGTTGTGGCAATCTGGATTCCTGTGCAAGAGCTTCCCCTTGGGGAGGTCATGACCCTGAGGAGTGTGGATAGTTGTGCAATCCCATCTGAAGTAGTTTGTAATGCTTTGCCACGAGCATCGCTCAGCTGAGTGGAAGAAGCAGCATTGCAGCTACCTCAGCTGCAGAGGCTGGGTGTGATTTTTGAGGGCTGAGTTCCTACAGTTGCTGCTGTTTGTTTAAAATTTTATTTAGGAAGGGGCTGTACACTAGCAAAAGTTGTCCAGGTTTGCACACTGGACAGCAAAATCCTTTGAAATGAGGAGAGATATTCTGCACAAATTATAGCCTTTTTTGTGAATTAAGTGGAGTACACAATTAACAGATTTTGGGAATTCCAATTTACAATTCTATTGTGAATGGAAAAAGTTTTCTTTGGAGCTGGTATACTTACTTTCTACCCCACCACAAACAGCGTGCAGGACATGTAAGAACATTTATTTTTCTTCCAAATATCTGTCTTCCTGAAACTGTCTTGGCAACCCTCTGAGCTCCAGAATGAGGTTTAGTAGAACTTGTGCTGTAGGCGTGAAAATAGACTTAGTTCTGGGAGAGTGTTTATGCTGCCAGGCAAGGAGAGCTGCACTGTACTGAGCTCAACAGTCCACTTCTCACAGCGAAATTTGAATTTCAGCTTGTCCTTTGAAAATTTCTTGATCCTGCCTCATATGACAGCAATGTCTCTCTATCTCCTCCTGCACATCATTGCTGGGTAAACTCTTAGTCTAAACAGGCAGAGCTGTTGGCAGTAGGGAGGACCCTGGTGCTGACCCCTCAGGCAGGACTTGCTGATGGAGATGCTCTGTTAACACCTGGATGGTGTTTTATCCAAGTACCTTGTCCTGAGACAAGACCACAGAACAGCAGTTTGCCAGACTTCCTGTGAAAGGAGGAGTGGTAGAAAACAGTTGTTAAAGAATATCAGAAGTATCCCCTTTCTCTGTGGTATGTGTTTCCCTGGTCTCTGTGGACTGACCAACTAACCTTACAGTGCATTTTTCTCCTGTATGATGGGCAATTGGTTAGTGAAAATGGGAGACAGCATCCTTGGGTATGGGATTGTCTGAAATTTGAGTGGAAGCTGTGGTACTCATTTCTACCAGATTCTTAAGTCACCTCTTGGGACTTTTTAGTAGGCCCTGTAGTGATAAGACGAGGGGTAATGATTTTAAACTGGAAGATTAGAGTAAATATAGTAGGAATTTTTTTACAGTGGGAGTGCTGAAACACAGAAACAGGTTGCCCAGTGAGGTGGTGGACGCCCCATCCCTGGAAACATTCACATGGTCAGGTTGGATGGGGCTCTGAGCGATTTGATGTAGTGGAAAGTGTATCTGCCCATGGCAGGGGGGGTTGGACTAGATGACCTTTAAAGGACCCTTCCAACACAAACCATTCTGTGATCCTGCCCCAGTGCTAAGTTCAGGCTTGTTGTTGCACATAGCTTGAATTGCTGCACTGTTTCTGTGCTTCAAAAGTATCCTGAGTGCTTTCTGGTTTGTGTTTTGATTTTACACTAAAAATATCTCATAACAGTGGGTGGAAGTGTAAGCCCGTGTCAGGAAAGAGAAGAAATAAATGATAATCTGTCCAGACTCCCATTCTGTTTTGAAATAAATCTGCTCAGGACACAACAGCACTACAGGCTTGTTGTGCCCAAGACAGGCTCTGCTGACTTTGCTTCCTCTCACACAAACATGTAATTGTGTGTGATTTTGGTTATTCTCACACATGTGTATTTAAATTCCAGCTTCACCCCTGTAAGTGCTTTTCCCTCTTGGGAAGAGCAAAACCCCAGATGTTAACTGTGTCTCTGGCAGAGCTTTG